CCCTGCTTGTGCTGACAAGTAAATAAAATCTCAAAAAAAAAAAAAAAAAAAGGCATTTCCAGAGGACTGAGAAACACAACATTTGGATGCACACCTTATGTGAAGATGTCTTAAAGTGGACTCAAGTGTAGAGATGAGTCTTAGGACACCAAGCAAAATCCCATAGAAAGAGGGCTCCATGGAAAGAGCAGGGATTGACAAGACCCTGTGGCAACTACTCAGCTCTTGCCACTGCAGTGCAAAAACAGCCACAGAGAGCAAACAAGGGACACTTTACCTCTAAAAAAAGGAGGCTCAGGCCAAGGTGATCTTGCTGTCCAGGACTTAGACCATGGGAGTCCTGCGAAACTGCTGGGTCAAGGAGAGACAGGACCTGATCGATGAGTATTTTAGACTGAATTACGGGGACTACTGAAAGATGGAGTCAGCGTGTTTTAGATGTCCTCTAAAATCCTGATTTTACCCTGCTTCTCTTATTGCAGTTGTTATAAACAACTGGGAGTGGTTCGGTTTCAATCAACATTTGCTCAAAATGACAGAGGTCCATATTTGACCCACAGGTCACACAGTTTCCTGAACTCTTCTGCTCTAAGACCTCCAGCCAGGGATTCTAAAAAATCAGTTATAATCTGAAGTCCGCTACCGGGATTCTTCAAACACCTGCCTCAGCTACTCATGATACATTTACACATCCTAAGAGCCTCTGATTATGCCAATACGGGGATGGGGAAACGAAGGTGTTTTCTCTCTCTCTCTCTCTCTCCTGTTTTGGTCTAATAATGGGATTGACTCAGAGCAGGCAAAGATCCCAGCCATACAGGATCAGCTCCTCACTGTCTCAGCACAGGCATCCAGGCAGTGCTCTGTAGCTGGGCTGCATCTGTGGCAGAAAAAGAGACTGCAAACCACTGTCCCAAGCATCCTCATCCCTGCTGTGTCAGCCCAGCTAACCCACTGAACATCCTGCGGTCTTCGCACCTCCTGACATCAACCACCAGAGCTGCCTGGCTGTGGACGTGCCCACCACGAGTACCGACGGACCGCAGGGGAAGCACACACTATCTGAAAGGCTCTCCAGCTTCCCAGGACTGGCCCTGGACTGCACCGCACCGTCTTCCTCAATACGAGTCATTGGTGCCCAGAACGGAGAAAAGGAAAAGGCCAGGCTGACAAATCTTAAATAATAAAAACTAGCTATCTGCTTGGGAACTCTTTAAGAAGATGCTCTTAAGTGTTTTCTGTTTCACTCTTAGCGTGGTGATCCTCCAAGGTGGGGAGGGAGGCAATTTTGCACCCCTCCCCCCAATGTCTGGACACATTTTTGATGGTCACAACTAGGGGGGTGCTATTGGCTTTAGTGGGTACAGACACCAGAGGTGCTGCTCAGTATCCTACAGCACATGAGCAGACCCCACTACTAAGAATCACCCAGCCCCAAATGCCAAGAGTGTTGACATGACAAACCCTGTCTTAGTAGGATTTAGCCACGTGATGGTCCCAGTGCCTCAAGCACGTATGCACAGCCCAGTTAAACTCCACAGACTCAGCCCCAAGGAGCACTCTGACTGACACGCCGAGTCGATGAGATGCAAGAGAGAAACAGCAGTGTGTGCTACCTCTGCTGATGGGGCCTGTTGGGTTATTTGCTATTTTTTGAGAAACAGAAGAATGACTCTGCTAAGGTTCACCTGTGAAAGGAGGAAGTTTTATAGTTCCTCTGAGCTCCAAACTCTTACGTAAGATAAGGTGGCCAAAATTCTAACAGACTACTCTGGGATTCTGGTAACTTTCTACAACACATGGTGTCTGTGAGGTTGTAAGCCAAGACCCCATCACTGCTCCTGAGAACATAGAGGAAGCCTAGCCTAGGAGATGTTCAGGAGGAAAAAAGAAATGGGGACACACACAACAACTATGAAAACTTAAAGTTCACAAATTTACCATTTGGGGTGTTTCTTCTGTCCCAGTTTGGCAGACTGAGATCAACAGGAGGAAGAAATTACTAACAGACGACTCTCCTCTTCCCCAAAATATTTAACACGGAAGGTACTGAACCAGAAACTCAAAAATGGAGTCGACTTTACTGGTTCTGTTTACTTGTTGCACATGGTGACAGTCTGATGTATTCTTTCTCACCTACAGTATTTGGAAATATTACAGAAGAATGAAGTCAATGAGTAACTTTCTTTCTTTTTTTTTTTTAATTTTTAATTTAACTTTATTTTTTTCATGTTTTCATTTTTTTTTAATTTCTTTTCAGCGTAACAGAATTCATTGTTTATGCACCCTCTGAAAAACTACCTAGTTGTTTCTCAATATGGATCCTCAAAATGGAGTCTCGTTTTTTAATCCATCAGATCAAAAAAAAAGGGGAGGTATTTATTTAGACATGTTGAAAACCAATGCCTATAGACACTGTCAAACTGAACAGATTAAAAGCAGACAAGTGTGATCATTCCAACAGTAGGCACTTTCCACATTGTATGTTAAAAGCAACCATTTTCAGGGTGCCTGAGTGGCTCAAGTCAGTTAAATGTCTGACTCCTGGTTTCAGCTCAGATCACAATCTCAGGGTGATGAGAAAATATGCAACATCATTAGCCATCAGGGAAATTAAAATCAAAACCACACCATTTAGAATAGCAAAAATTGGTATGGCAAGAAGCAACAAACGTTGGAGGGGTTGTGGACAAAGGTGAACCCTCCTACAGTGTCGAAGGGAATGCAAGTTGGAACAGCCACTTGGGAAAACAGCATGGAGATTCCTCAGAAAGTTAAAAATAGAGCTACTCTATGACCCAGCAATTGCACTAATGGGTATTTACCTGAAAGATACAGATGTAGTGAAAAGAAGGGCCATTTGTACCCCAATGTTCATAGCAGCAATGTCCATAATCACCAAACTATGGGAAGAGCCTAGATGTGCTTCAACAGATGAATGGATAAAGAAGATGTGGTCCATATATACAATCGAATATTACACAGCCATCAGAAAGGATGAATACCCAACTTTTGTATGAGCATGGTTGGGACTAGAGGAGATAAAGCTGAGTGAAATAAGTCAAACAGAGAAGACAATTATCATATGGTTTTACTTACTTGTGGAGCATAAGGAATAGCATGCAGGACATAAGGAGAAGGAAGGGAAAAATGAAGTGGGGGAAATCGGAGGGGGAGATGAACCATGAGAGACTATGGACTCTGGGAATCAAACTGAGGGTTTTAGAGGGGAGGGGGTTGAGGGGATGGGTCAGTCTGGTGATGGGTATTAAGGAGGGCACTTGTTGAATGGAGTGCTGGGTGTTATACGTAAACAATGAATCATGGAACACTACATCAAAAACTAATGATGTACTGTATGGTGACTAACATAATAAAAAAATTATAAAAAAATAATAAAAGCAACCATTTTCAGGGTGCCTGGGTGGTTCAGTTGGTTAAATGTCCAACTCCTGGTCTCAGCTCAGAATATTATCTCAGGTCATGAGGTCAAGCCCCCTACTGGGTTTCTCTCTGGGCCTGGGGCCTGCTTAAGACTCTCTCCCTCTCCTCTGCTCCTCCACTAATCTCACCTCCCCCCACCAAAAAAAAAAAAACACAACAAAAAAATCCAACCATTTTCTCTTTACCAAAAAAATATATATGAAATTTAAAAGTAACCAAATTTCCTGGACCCTTTCAAAAAGAAAAAAAATATATTATGTAAAATTAAGTATGACTTCCTGCATTTGAACTCAAGCTTCCAACTGCTGCTATATATTTTCAGGAAAACACCATATGAACTCCATAGACTTCAGAGTCCGTGACTGATGGGTCATAAGGTAGAACACTAATGTTTTCCACCCCGGCCACCCCATTCTTGCATCTCATTCATATTACACCTCAGGGTCCCAATCCCTACGGCCACTAAGTTCTCTGTTCAGTGACTGGACTTGTCAATGAGTAACAGGACAGATCATCACCTATGGATTAAGTCTACTCCCATCCTCAGTCATCAAGGAGAGCTGGGAGGTCAGTTCCCCACATCACGGTATGATCCAAATTTCATTTACAATTTCTGTTCTGTATTTGTGCATCTATGCTTTTTAAAGTATTATTCATGTATATGTATATTTTTGTGTGTATATATAAAATATCAGAAAGTATACACTGAGATGTTAATTATGGTTATTTCCTAGAGCAGTAGATTGATATGTGATTTTCTTTATTCTTGGTAGGTTTTTTTTTTTTTTTTTGCACATCTATGGCTTCCAACTTTTTCTATATTAAGCATAACATTTGCCAAAAGAAAAATAAGTAATATTTTGTGTATTCTTTTTCCCACTCAGCCTTATTTCTAAAAGAGTTTTAGAAAAAAGCAACACATACAGTAAGACTTCTTTCAAAGTCAGGGCAATTAGAGACAAGGGCAATAAACAAGAACAGTTGACTCTCAAGAAGCCAAAGATGAAAGCTATTAGCCAGCAGCACGTAATCGCTAGTGTCCTATGCTGTGGCCAGAGGGAGGCACACACTTGGCTTGGAGTTTCTCCCCACCCTCCTACCTCACCCTGCCCACCCCCAACACAGTCCTCATTCCCCCACACATTCCTCCCCACCCTTCTTACCTCACCCCCACCCCATCTTAATTAAGTTTTGTTTAGGGAAAAGAATGAGAATATTTTTCTCCGCTCCCTGATCATACTCCCAGATGAGATCACGCAATCCAGAAATGTGTTGAGGAAGAAGGGCTGGCTGCAAATCCAACCTGGAGCGCTGATAACCATTCCACCCCCACTGCTCCTGGGTCTGGGTGTTAGTCTGTGGGGACAAGAGCTCAGAAGCTCCCCAAGGACATGGCTTTAACTTTCTCAAAGTGTCTCTCTGTGTGCAATTCACTGCCACAAAGGCAGTGGCAAGGGATGCACTCAATCCATGACAAAACCAAGGTGGCGAGGCTCTGGGGTCCTTCTCAGGCAGAACCACGCTCTATCAAGCAGCCCCAGTAGCCCGGCGCTTACCATAAGCTGTCATGACGCCGGCATACGGCCCATCCACCACATTCCTGTTTTCCTCTGCCAGCGCCTTGATGTACCTCTTGCTGAGGTCTAGGATCTGCTCGCGTAGCATGGAGCTGCTCTCAGGCTGAGTTCGCTGCTGGATGGTAAAATGCAGGAGCATCATACCCCAGATAAAGCCAAAAGTCACAAGGAAAAAGCCAAGCTTCTGAGAGGACAGCTTCCACGGAGTAAAGAGAGCCATTGCTCTCCAGCAACTTCACCTGCCCTTTGGCTCTTACAACGTAGGAGGAAGACACAAGTTCATGGTGAAGGCTGGATGGGTGGGCTTGCCGGTGTCACTCTGGCTCCTGCGTCAGCCGATTTCCTTTCCTCGTTTCCATTCCCCTGTGAAGAAGGGAGAAAGTTAGTAGAGTGGTAGTGGCAAAACACAGGGAAACCAACCAGGAGCCATGTTTTCATTCAAATAGCTCTAAAACGCACACTTCCTTTTTTCTTAATTTGCTGGTTCAATATCTTATGTTATGATTCCAGATCTGTAAGCTGAGAGGGGAAATCTGGCTAGGCGACAAAAAAGCTGCACAAATACAGAGGAGGAAATGTGTGTCTGACTATGTTAACAGGTGTAGCAGGGCTGTTCCAGTCTGGACCAAGTTCAAAACAGGAAGCTTATTTTGCAAGGTGGGGAGGAGATGGAAGGGTATTTCACTGAATGTCAGCAAAAACCCAAGCGGAGGGTGGAGTCAAAGCACCACCGGGCACTTCTGTGCATCTGTAACTTGAGCTTACAAAGTCATTAGCCTGTGCTCTGGCAAGGATTAGAGCATGCAGCTGGGGAGGTGAGCAACAGAATGGGCACCTCCTCAGGGGTCATTAGACCAGGAAAGGGCAGCAAGCTCCCAAGTTATGTAAGCATGGCCAGCTTGCATTAGCGGTGTGTGGAGAGAGAGAAGCTGAAACTCTCGGGGCCACCAGGCAGCCTCCTCCCAGGTACCAGTGCTGAGGGGCTGTGCCAGGGGTACCCAGCGGTCTTCCTGTTCAAGCTACCACGAGTGAAAGAGGCAGCTCACCACTCATTTGCACACTGCAACTCAGGAAACATGGAGTACATGATAGCCACCTTTCTCGTAGTTCTCACTTTCACTCATGCCATGGGGCAAAATATGAGGTTAAAAGGCGCAAAGGCACAGTTTCAATACTCATCATCCAGATCCTATTTGGTACCCTATTTGGGCCAAGGTTTTAAAGCAACTCTTCCCAACACCTGAGGCCGAGGTAGAGGTTGCAAATGGGTTACAAGTTTAGGCCACATTCTCCACCCTTGAATGAGAGTCCTGGGTCCAAGAACCAGCCAGGTCCCAAATGGCACCATTTCCTCAGTGTGCCAAAGGAAAAGCTGAGCAATGATCTCCACACAGGACTAACCCAGGATTTACTCAGAGGGTGCACCTGTTTTTGTTCTAAGTATTTTTCTTTGGAAGCAGCCTAAGAAGGAACGATGGCGAGATCTTGGTGCAGTTCTCTTTCAGAATCTGTCATGTGGTGGATCTGCGTTGGTCTTTCTCTCTCACTGTTTTCCTCACCTATGAATGGCCATTAGTAGTTGGTAGTAATGCGATGAACGGTAAATGACAAATAAATTCTAGGCATGCTTTTTGCGCCTTAGCTCACCGAATTCTTAGAGTCCTTGATGGGAAGAACTACTACTATCATTCTGTTTCACAGATAGGAAACAAAGGCCCAGAGAGATTAACTTGTCCACCCTGGACACCATGCCCTGCCTTCCCTATGCCACTCACCTTTCCCCACCAGCCTATGTATCGATGGCCAACATGTGTGTGTTCATGCTTTAAGGGTTGTAAAAAACAAGAACGAAGAAAATGTGACAGAAATCCTATGTAGCTCAATGGCCTTACTCTTGGCCTTAAACAGAAAAAGATTACTGACCCCTGAATTCTAGGCCAGTGACTTTTCAAAGCATGGTCCCTAAGTCCACAGCAGCAAAAGCACCACGGAGAAATGCCAATTCTCAGGCCCCAACCCAGACTGAATTAAATCAGCAACTCTGGGGTGTGGGGAGCCGGCAGTCATCTGTGCTCCAACGAGCCTTCCAGGTGATTCTGATGTCTCCTCCAGTCTGAGAGCTGCTGATCCAGGCAGACGGATGTCGTCACTAAGGCGTACCATTGTGCCGTCTGTACAGCATGGCTCAGACTCCCTCTTGTGATACCATGTCACTGAAATTCCTCGGGCCTGGCCGCACCCTCCACACCTGCCGGTCAGCTCGCACCATAACCCTGCACACCCTTCCTCATGGTCTCCCCATATTCACTCACGCTGTTTTCCCTCCTGGGCTGGCCCTCCACAGATCGCACCGATCATCCAAACCCGGCCTGCTTGCCAGGCCCCAGCTCCACTCACACCGGCTCCAGACAGCTTTCCCTACTGCTCCAGCTTGGGTGCCCCTCACTGGTCTGCAGTTTCCAAACATGTGTCTGTCTACATAGGTTGTTCGCCAGTTGCTGTGTGGGATCTTGTGACATCCTATAAGGGAACCCCCCACCCCCTGCCCCCAGCCCCCCATCACCACGTGCATTCTAAGAGAAAGACGCTGGTCCTGGGGACACAATAAACCAAATGTTGACCGAGCATGCTTGTCCTCCAGGCACTAGAGCACTTTATTTGGCCCTTCCAAACCAGGGCTCCGCGAGCAGCACCCAGCCCTCTTTCTTTCCTCCATTCAGTCTATAGCATATACTGAGCCCCTGGGCCATCGTGCCCTGGAGACTCAACGAACAGCAAGACAGAGATCCCAGCCTCGTGGGGCTGATGCTTTAAAGCCACCTCTCTAACTGGGAGCTACACCGGGTCCTTAGGAAGTGGCTGCGCTTCCTGTTTGAGAACCCACACCACTGAGTCAACTGTACCCCAAAGCTGAAGGGATTTTCCCAGGGCAAGTAAACTCGATGCTACACTAAAAATGACAGTCAGCAGGCAATTTTCTTTTCCTACTGTAAGGGAGAATCCCAAATGCATACAGGAATTACCTGTTAACTTTCAGGCAGGAAACTCCACTCCACTTTGTCAATTAGCCCCCTGAAAAAGCTTCCCAAGGCTGCAAAGTTGAAGCAAGGGCAGGGCCAGGTATAAGAATGGAATGAGGGCCTCAGCAGATGTCAGAACCACCCACAGATGGCCCATCTGAGCAGCAAAGAAGATGGTTGAGAAACCCAAGCAAGGTTAAATTCTACCAGTTCAGAGACATACAAATTTGGAGCGAAAAGCCCTCTCATTACAAGTTCAGAAAACAGTTCTGATTACCGAGGGCCCAGATTTTAAGTAACCAGGGAACTGTCAGGAATGTTCTTTTCTCCCATGGGATCTACGGTGTGGCACAGCAGCAGCTGTCTCAGCATACTCACAGCATAAACACAGAACTGAACTAGAACTCATCTCTACAATTCCTACTAACACAGAATTTTAAAGGCCTTTTCAAAACCATTACCCAGGACACAACCCTAACTCCCACAGTAATAGCAGGGGTGGGGGGCAACAGGATAGCAAACCTCACCGGAAGGTGCTTCATGATCAGAAAGGGCTTAAGGATCATCATCAGTGACAGTCCCAACATTCATCAAGAGGATACAGAACAACAGTGATCAAAAAGCAGTAGATCTGGCTAAGAATCTGCCTCCAGACTTAGCTGGAACTGCTTGCAAAACAGAGCTGAGAGACACAAAAGCACAGTCTATCTCAGAAGGCCTTGTTGCCCACCACAGCAGTGCCAGCCTGAGGCCACGACCCCATCTGTCCTCCAAAAAGAAGTCTGTACCAAGTCTGTCAGCAATGAGCTCAACTTATAGGCCCACCGCTGCCACTAACCACCCTGATCCACACCTCCAAATCCCTGTACTTCCTAAAAGAGCAGCATTCACCTCCTTCCTCCCCATTCACTCATCAGCACGGTAAAATCTGGCATCCCCCATTCCAAAACTGATCGAAGATGTCTGGCACCGAACGAAATGTGTCAGTTCTCTTAATTTAAAAAGTAAAAGCGTATGAAAAGACGCACACATCATTAGCCTTTAGGGAAATGCAAATTAAAACCACAATGAGATACCAGTTCATACCCACCCGGATTGCCATACTCAACAATGAGAGCTCAGAACCAGTGCTGGTAAGGACGTCTAGAAGTTGGAACCTTTGCATACTGCGGGTGGGAATGTACCATGATGTAGCTGGTGTGGAAAATAGTCTGGCGGTTCTTCAAATGGTTAACCACAGAGTTACCATGTGACCCAGGCAACTCCACTCCTGAAATTCTCCCCAGAGAAATGAAAGCCTATGCCCACATAAAAACTTGTACACAAATGTTCATAGCAATCTTGCTCATAATAGGCAAAAACCCGAAACAACTCTAACGTCCATCAGCTGACAGTCGGATTAAAAAAAACACATACAATGGCATACTATTCAATCAATGGGAACAAGTTAGGTTCTGATATGAGCTCCAGCACAGCCGGTCCCCGAAAACACTATGTGAGGTGAAAAAAGGCAGACATAGAAAACTACATATTGTATCTTTTTATTTTAATGCAATGTTTAGAGGAAGCAAATCTATAGACACAGAAAGTGCAATAGTTGTGCTGGGCTTGTGAAAACAGGGGAATTAGGAGGTGACAACCCAGCACACGGGGGTTATTTCAGGGGATAATGAAAACATCCCAGAATTAATTGTGATGGATGTACAATTCTGTGGATATAAGGAAAACACCGAATTATCCACTTTATGTGAGAGAATTAGAAGATACATGAATTGTATCTCAATAAAGCCTTTACTGAAAAAAGAAAAAAGAGAGCAAGCCCACCTCCAGAGTTGGGGGTAGGAAGAGGAGCTGTATATGGAGACAGCCAGAGGAGCCCCAGGGGCCCCTGCAGCCCCTGCCAACGACCCACCCTTTTCCCTCTTCCCCACAGCCAGGCAAGGCCAGGCTGTGTCATGACTAAGGGCTGACCACAGGCCTACTAACCAAAGGAAATTACACTGAGAAATCTGCCACCAGCCACCAGACATGGCTGCTCTTATAAGACCCCCATCCACCTCAGAGGCCCTTCAAGGCCAGGCCTGCTTTGCGTGCCAGAGGCCAACTTCTCAAACCACCTGAGAACATAGAGAACAGCTCCGCCCCAGGGGACACACAGGAAGCAAGCAGTTCCTGCAGCTGCCTACCCAACAACCTTGCAGGGCCCATTTCTTACTTCAGGAGCATTCTCCTCAGACGATGAGTGAAGCTGGAAATGGCTGTCCCTTCAGGAGCAATGCCAGTCCCAACCAGAGATGTCAGCTTCTCCTAGAGCCCCACCGGCCAATCCCCTCACAGCTTGCC